GCTTAGGGAATTGCCGTAGTCGCGAATTTCGGAAGTGCCGAACCAAATTTTTTGCCCATGCATATCCCTATTTAATTGATACCCTTTTTTGAAGAAGTGAGCTTTTGAAGGAGTGGAGACTGGGTGAGCGTCTAACGGAGAAGGGAAGAGAGTTCCCCAGGAATGGTGCAGCTTTTGAGAAGTCTGGAAGGCGAGCATTAGAGGTGAGAGTACAAACACATGGCTAGACCTAGGTCTTTGGCAGAGCGCAGGGGCCTAGACGGGACATACTCATGTATTATGGAGAATAGATAGGTGGGAGCGGCATTATGTAGAGATTTGAAAGCAAGAACCAGAATTTTAAATTGGGCCCTTTATCTTATGGAAAGCCATTACAGGGACTGACAGAAGGGTGAGGCGTGGGAGGTGCAGGCAGATAGGAAGATGAGTGTCAGTGCCGCATTCATTATAGACTGTAATGGCGCAAGCTGGGAACACTGAGAAGTGGATTGCAGTAGTCAAAGCGAGAGAGGACAGTGGCATGGACCAGCACCTTAGCCACATCTGGCGTTAGGGGCAGATGCACGCAATGTTTTTGAGATGGATGCGGCAGGATTTGGTGATAGACTGAACATGAGGGGTGAAAGAGAGGTTGGAGTCAAAGAAAACACCTACGCCTGGGTGTTGGAGCTGATGGTAGCGCCGTTGTCTAGAAGGGAGACAGACACAGGAGTAGCTACACTTGAGGGAGGAAAGACCAGAGGTTCAGTTTTGGACAAGTTGAGTTTAAGGAAGTGGACAGCCATCCAGTTAGAAATAGCAGAGAGGCAGGAGAGGACAGATAGATGTGCGTGTCATCCACAGACAAATTATATTGAAGGCCAAAGGAGGCAAGTTTACCAAGGGAGGCAGTACAGATCGAGAACAGTAGGGGACCAAGGACTGACCCTTGGGGGACATCAAAAGAGAGAAGTCGGGGAAAAGAGGCAGAGCCAGAGAAAAAAAAAACATTGAAAATGTGCTGGAAGAGGTAGGTGGAGCACCAGGAGAGAACAATATCTTGTAGACCAAGATAACAGAGGATGAGAAAAAGCTGTTGATGATCAACAGTGTCAAAAGCAGCAGAAAAATCAAGGAGAATTAGGATAGGATAGTGACCATGAGATTTTGCAGTAAGTAGATCTTTGGATACTTTGGTCAGAGCCGTTTGGTCAGAGTGCTGAGCTTGGAAACCAGACTGAAGCGGGTCAAGCAGAGAATTGGACTCGAGGAAGTCTGCCATTCTTGCATACACAACTCGTTTGAGGATCTTGGACGCAAAAGGCAGTAGCGGGCTAGGGCGGTAGTTGGACGGGGAGTTAGGGTCAAGGTTGGGTTTTTTTTAGAATCGGGTTTACAGTTGCATGTTTGAAGGGTGATGCCAGAGGAGAGGGAGAGATTGAGAATTTTAGTGAGAGGCAGAGCAAGAGAAGGAGACAGAGTACGGATGAGATGCAAGGGAATAGGATCCATGGAGCAGGTGGTGGGGCGGGAGGACCGTAGCAGAGCAGAAACCTCTTCCGCTGTAGTGGGTGCTGTAGTGGGTGCGAATGAACATGAACAGCAGAGGGAGTGTGGTTGGGAGAAGTATTATAAGGGGAAGGAGAGAGATGAGATAGCTCTACAATCCTGATTGTAGAAAAATTGTCAGTGAAGTGACTTGCAAAGTTTGTATTGGTCAAGTTAGTAGGAGGAGGAGCAACAGGGTGAAGAAGAGTTAAAAGTGCAAAATCGTTTGGGTTTGCCGGAGAGTGTGGTATGAGGGCATTGGAGTAATTTACTTTGGCAGAGGAAAGAGCCAAGCTGTAGGAGTGCAGCATACATTTATAGTAGAGAAAATCAGGCGCAGAGTGAGACTTGAGCAACAGCGTTGAGCAGTTCTTAATCATTTTTGGAGGTATCGAGTCAGCTTGGTGTGCCAAGATTTGTTGTTGGGGGTGCTTGCTGCATTTAAGTGTGGGAGGTCCCATGATGTCTAGTTGAAAGGAGAGGGTTGAATTGTAGACAGAGGTTGCAGAGTTAGGACAGGTGAGATTTGGGATAGTAAAAGGAGAGTTTGGAGGTTAGTGGAGAATTGCTCTAAGTCAAGGCATTGGAGTTGGGTCCTGTGTATGCCGATAGCAAAAGTCAGCAGGTGGTGGTTATATAGAGCAAAAGGAGTATTGGAGAGATTAGAGGTGGTACAGAGATTGGTGAAGGTGAGATCAAGAGTGTTTCCCGCTGTATGGGTTGCTGAGATAGACCATTGCATTAGGCCAAAAAGGAGGAGATGGAGCGCGCATTCCACAGTGCACACTGAATGTTGGTAAATGAGGGTAAAGGGCAGGGTATTGTGATGAGGTTTATGTGGGGTCTAGTTGTCTAGTGTGGGTAGAGAAGGTTAAGGGCCTTAGGTTGGGAGAGACATCACCAGTTGCTACAAGCAAAAGGAGAGAAAGTAACTGGAGGTGTGAATGTGTTTTGTATGCATGTGGTCTAGGATGAGATTGTGGGTAGGAGTATGACTCTGGGAACTGCTAGTCCGGAAAAATATTGAACAATTAAACAGTGTGAATTGGAGGAAGAAAAGCAGCAGCTATTACATCTCCAATATTTCTGCACAAAATGATCTACCACATTTATCTAATACACGGATTATCCTGGACTTTACTTCTGTATTTGACCTTGGTGGACCAGAGGGCAAATATCACTGTAGAGAATATACATTTCCTAGGATTCAGAATAATTAGCTAAAGATGTGCTTCAATGTTATTTTTTATCAGTTGCAGGTGGTGACCAGGTGCTGTTACACTCAATGTTGCCTTTTTCCATATTCCAGATTGACAGTACGGTTCTAATATACAGTGAACAAACTCAGCACCTGGTGACATAAAGATGCAAAACACAGGTCCTAAGAAACCACAGGGACATCTAAAGCTGACCTGCAGTGTATAGTAATGAATCCCTTAATTTGATAGAATTTTACTAAATCTCAGCCCTGGCACAGTTAAGGTAATAATCGATGCTGAGTTATTGTTATAAAATATACATGTGCACCAGTAAGGATGACTATAGTTTGTGACCGTGTGCAGAATCAGGGGGTTATGTTTGAAGAACAAGGGCTCATGTCCTCGAAATATGAATTAGCACAAAAGATTAAGCCTTGTCCTTAAAATTAATATGATGTCATGCTACACTGGTTAAAAAAAAGACCTGCTAAGATTTCTCTGTATCTGAGCAATTTCAAAGTACAGAACATGGAGACACAACAGTTAAAGAACATTACAAAACATAAAGATGGTGAAACATCCAAAATGCAGTCAAAACCTGAATAATTTGTTGGGCAGAAAAAAATGATCTGTCCTTCAGAGGAAAATGAAATGCTTTGTAAACAATATATTTAATTGTTTACTGTAAGGAAAAAAATATCCCTGTACTGCAGCTGGAATGGATTAAATCCTATCAATATGAGAATAGTTTTACAGATCAGAATATGATTTGTGTATTTAATTGTTTACTTCTGTTTGTTACCAGTTTACATGTAAACATGTCTGGTACTGTCTAATGAGACAAAACTTTAATAGGGACATTTTCCAAACTTCTGCATTAGTTCTGTTAATTCTGTGTTCGTGACTAAGGCCTTTTAAATTTTTTAAATTTTTTTGTGTCTGTTCCACATTTATTTAATTCTTTCCCTTTAAGTGTATATTATACAGTACATTGTTCTTTTAAAGGACAGATATTGAAAATATGCAAACAAACTTGAAAAAAAAATAGTATGGGTATTGTTTATAATAATTTATATACAGCTAGTGCAACTTACAAAAACAACCTTAAAATAAATTCACTAATTACTCCTGATTGTTAAAATAACTTGCATGCTCAGGATTGTTTTTTGGAAGTTATAAAACAAATATTGAAAGTGAAATGCAGTTTTAAAGCTAAACATTTTCAAACGTTTGTCTTCTGAGATTATAACTGTATTAGTAGTCACTGCATCCAAAAGTGCTACACAAGTATATATTTACAGAAATTTCGATGTATTTAACTTAGAAAAATTTGGCACCTTTCATTTAATAATTTTATCCTCAATCTCTGTAAATAAATCTGCTGGTTAAATTTGTTTATTTTTCTGTGTTTTTAACACATTTCATTTTTACGGGGAGTTTAAGAGACAATATGTGTCCCATTCACTATTGCAAATTCATATTTTGCTATGGCAAACCACAACCGGGGAACCACAAGTGAGGGTGTGTTAGAGAGATGCTTGAGATATCTAGCAATTGCTGGTAAATGCATGCCTCCAATATTTTGTTATGACAGTTGGCATCCAATCCCTGTGGCATGATGCCAAAATGACTGCATGCAGGGCAGCTTGGGGTGGTGGGTCTACAGGTAAGTCACATTAACTCTATTCCAAGCACTTAACACTTTTATAATGACATTACATTAAAATGAATTCACTATATTTCTTACAAAATGAATTGGCTTCATGGTCCTACTTATGAAGTGCCATTTAAATAAAAAAAGAATACCCCAAAAATAGTCTAACTCACGAAATAAAACATATCTTTAGTCAGAATTGTTAGCTAATACAAAATAATGCAAAGAATGCAGAAATTACTATTAAACCCTAAGTTCTAAGCACTTTTTTTTTAGTAGTGTAATATTTATTTGAATCATGTATTTCATTTCCACTAGACATATAAATTCAATCTGAATTCTCTCTTTAGTGGATTAGACAGTTAGTTACGCAATAATTCACACGGGATCTTAACTTTTGCAATAGAAGCAACAATTTAATTTTTGTCACATATATTGTGTGTAATTGTAATAGATAAATAAAAAAAAAATAAGCTAAGAATAGCTACTTGGAAAGACCCTTATAACAACACTACAATGTAAAATAAATGACTGTTAGAGATGTCGCGAACCGTCCGCGAACTTCTCGCGAACGGTTCGCCGAGGTTCGCCACGAACCCTTTGCGACGAACTCCGGTCAGCTGACACATCCCTGCCAATCTCCGGCAGACCCTCCCTCCCAGACCCTCCCACCTCCTGGACAGCATCCATGTTGAAGGCAGCTTCAACATGGATGCTGTCCAGGAAGTAGGAGGGTCTGGGAGGGAGGATCTGCTGGAGATTGGCCGGGATGTGTCAGCTGACCGGAGTTCACCACGAACGGTTTGTGGCGAACCTCGGCGAACCGTTCGTGAGAAGTTCTCGGACGGTTCGCGACATCTCTAATGCCTGTATTTCAGCATAGTAGCCATATGCACTAAGCACTGTTAAATTATCTCTTCTAAGCTTCTTTTAGTGTGATTTAAAGGAACAATTTGAATTCATGTTTTTGGTTGTGAAGGGGTAAATTATTCATAATCATATGATTTAACTATGGATCTGTGCAGCACTGCAGGTATAATTGTATGCGTCTATTCAATCTTAGGTAATATACCAGTGTGAATGAGATTTTGTGTGACGCCAAGACATGGTATATTAAAAAGGCTCCTTTTGAATCGACTACGCTATTTGAAATATTTAATACACTATTTTTATTCTCTTTTTTTTTATATTTGATTTTGTTTGATTATGCAATTCTAAAAAGTGGTACGTTTAATATCTTGAGTAAGCCTTTCTTTACAGCATATCTTTCATATCCGTTATCTAAAATACCTAAATTACAATGTAGTAGCTAATTTTTCACACCATTTCCTGTACGCGTAATTTGTCAAACAATTAAGGTTAAACAGACCAGTCATTTTTGTTTTGTTTTTTTACAGTGTTAAGCTCATGAAAACAACACTGCAATTATTAAATGTGTTTTCTTTTAACGTCTTTTGCCACAAGGCAAAAGCATAGAATATTTTATCTCACAGAAAAATATGAATGGGGCAGTTATTAAACCATTATTGGCAGAATTCTGGCATTCTATACTAATGAGTTATAAGTATTTATTGAGCTCTATTCAGCAACAAGTAAGTTATAGTAAGAGGAAGAAACCCTTTAAGTGCTATTTTAACCACACAAAAAGAGTTTGCAATATTTAATAGGTGGAGCTATCACTGTGTGTATCTCACCCTAAAACACTTACTGATAGTTCACACTTTAGTAAATAATTATGTAACTTAAAGTGAATTTTACAGTTTAGACAGATATAGATACGTTGGGAAAAATTTTTTTAGCCAACTATATTATCTGTTTTGGTTTTCAACTTCAAATTCACTATAAATTCTTGCCATTTTTCCTTATTGTGAATAAGTAAACCATGATTTGTCAGGAAATGACAGTAAATAAAAGCTTTTAGGCCAGACTAGTCAAGCTGAATACTTAGTTTACTTGGATAATTTTTCCAGTTCAGCTATTTTGGCCTAATGTTTGAAACTCAATTTGAATTGCTGATAATATACAATTTGAAGATACTCTCACAGCCTGGGTTATTCACCAGAGAGGATGTTTAGAGAAACAAGTCAAACGACAAAAGCATACTGTACATTGAAAATACTCGAAGGGCTCAGACACCCACACACTAACTTGTCAGGAGTAGTTTACAGCTCCAAGTATCCACTGACTGTTTTAAAATATATATTAAAGCTATGTACCTCTTTACTTTTTTTTGTATTCCAATACAACATTTAAGAAATGGCACCAAAATAAAAACGAAAGATATTTAGTACGCATTTCACATCCGGATAAATTTTTTCTTCTATTGATGATCACAAATTAAAACTCACATAATTATAATGATCTGTATGTTGCCACATTAACAATAAATGGGATTAGTAAAGCCTCTGGCCCAACTTAGTAACAGAAAGGGTCACGAGTGTCATTCACTAAAGTGTGAATTATCAATACTTTAAAGTGCATTTTTCTGCCACTCTAAATCTGGCGACCTTCCAGATTTGAAATTTCTGCAGAAACTGTCAGAATTTACTAAGAAAAAAAGTAACTTTTTAAATACTAAACTCGTTCAAAATAATGATGGAATTTAAATATTACTTTTCAGAATACTTTGATAACTAACCCCTGCTTTGTTTTTAGATTGGCTAGTCTGACCCAACATTTTATTTTTGGCTTAAAAGCTTACAGGATGTGGTTTCTTTTTTTCCCCACCCCCAGTCAACCCCTGAGGGTCAGTGCAGCCTCCTGATCCTGTGTATCATCTTCACGCATCCGGTTTCTGCCTAACCAGAAACTAAATGTCTTCTGAATTTATCCGTGGACCTGTTCTAAAACCGGTAATACTACCTGTAAGTGTGTTTCTCTCTGTCTCTTACCTTGTTCGTTATTTGTATGAGCCAGATGTGTGGCATAAAAAATAAAATAAAAATAAAAACAGGGTGATTTTTTTTAGTATATGACTTTACCAGGTATAGTGTTGCTAATTCTGTTTAGAGTTACATTTGAGCTCATGGCAAAACTTTGATTATGGTTTTTTATTAGATGTGACTAAAACCAGATATTTTTTTTGCTTCACACAGGAGATTGTAAATAGCTTTATAAAACTTGAAGCTTTACATAAAGGTTACTGTAAATCACACGCCAATGCCAGGATGACACTCTCCATAAAGGAGCTCTTGTAAATAACACAGTACCTCTTTTCAGCATGTACTCACTGTTATCGAATTTAAAAGGGATAGTCAGTCTCACAATGTTTCATATCAAGTCCAGAAAACCCTGACAATTATCCATTAAAATTAAGCAGTTTTATCCACCCCTTAGGGATTTTAAATCAGTGATACATTCTTGAATAAAACAATAAACAAGTAAATAAAATCAGTGATACCAGACGCTACAACCCCAAAACGGATATACACTCCTACACAAATAACAGATTCTTCCGACGATACACAACCCTTCTCAAGTATCAACTCCACAACCAACACCGCACATACCACACAGGCACCACAGCCTAAACAGATAAGGGCCCAGACACGCTACCCACCCCTTTCGGTGCGCACGCTTAATACTACGGAGGCCGACTGGTACACCACCGGGATAGAACCCGGGGTGCCCCCCCGACCGACACCGTAGGCACACGAACTCCCTCACCGCGGAGAGGATCACCTCCTCACACTATCACAACACGCACACCACATCTATACTACTCTCCAACATCCAATTAAGAAACACACACCCACATCACACGAACCAGACATGGTGCCTGACATCACCGAAAGGCACTGAGCCTGAGCAGACGACTCCCCTAGACCACACAAGAGCAAATACCAACACACCACGTACACCTTTCACCCTACACGTGACTGCAGTCCAGCAACTCACCCGAACGCCCCCCCCCGGCGCTCCTGACCCGGCCGTCGCGTCCGCCTCCAGCTAACCACCAGACGACGCAGGGGCACCGAACCACACCAAAACCCAGGAACCAAGCCACGGGTTCGGGCTTCCTCGGTCGACTCCCACGTACACAAGAGAGCGAGACTCGGACGAGGGACCCCGATACCCGACAAGACACCACCGCTGCGCGGAGATACGGGCAGGATGGCATACAGACCAGACCCGATGAAAATCATCACACAAAATTGCAGGGGACTGAATCTCCCAGAACGCAGAACTAATCTCTTGAGGGACCTTCAGAGAGAGAGGGTTGCAGTCGCTCTTCTCCAGGAAACTCACTTTCGGGAGGGAGCGGCCCCGGCACTCAAAAACAAACAATACCCCACTAATTACTTCAGCAACCACCCCACAGCGAAAAAGGCAGGGGTCGCGATCCTTATAGCAGCTCGTTTACAATTCCAGGAACAGGATCACCTTATAGACCACAACGGCAGATACGCCTTCGTAAAGGGGAATATCGCAGGGAGATGCTACACGTTCGCGACAATCTACGTCCCCAATAATAATCAATCTAGATTCCTTAAGAACACACTAAAGGCACTAACAGACTTCACGGAAGGAACCCTGGTCACGGGAGGAGACTTCAACGTCACACTAGATCCTAAAGTAGACTCCTCAACGGGACACAGCAGCATCCCACAGAGAGAAATAAGAACCATAAACCATACTCTGAAAACACTACGCCTGGTAGACTGTTGGCGAACGCTAAACCCATTAGACAGAGAATACACTCACTATTCCATAATACACAAAAGATACTCCAGGATAGACTTCCTATTATTGCAACAAGAAGCTCTAATAAGACTTAGGAGAGCATCCATACACACTGCAACGTGGTCGGATCACGGACAAGTGTCGATAGACCTCGAATCTCCACTCATAAGACCGACGAAAACGACGTGGAGACTCAACGACTCCCTCTTAACCGACCTCCCACTAAGGGCCCAAGTCACCGACACTCTACAGACATATTTTACCGAGAATGAGACGGGAGACGTATCAGATATGACAATATGGGAGGCACACAAAAGTTCAAGCTCATCCAAATCGCGTCACAACGGAAAAAAGAGGCGGGCACACTTATGTCAACCATCCTGGACCGGATCCGCTCCCTGGAAACACAACACAAACGCCAACAGGTGGAAGATACCTACAGGGAACTATTAGAGGAAAGAAGGAGACTACACGCACTACTACTCAAGAGACACCTGAGACAACTCTGCAGATCTAAAGGTTTCTTCTACCTCCACGCAAACAAAGGAGGCAAACTCCTCGCACACATGCTCAGGGGACAACAACACCCCTCATAAGTCCACAAATTAAAAACAAGCAACGGCACTACTACCCAAAACCCGGAGAAAATCGCCAAGGAATTCTTCACTTACTACTCCTCACTTTACAGTACACACTCACAAAGCGACGAAGAAGGCAAGCGAATCAAACAAGGTCGCATGGAATGCTTCCTGAGAGAACATCTACACACGACGGTGACAACCGAAGATGCAGAAACCATCGACCGCCCGATCACCGAAGACGAAGTTAAGACAGCTATCAAAACGACGAAGACAGGCCGCGCACCCGGACCCGACGGACTTACACTGGACTACTACAAACGCTTCCAAGATATACTAGCCCCCAAACTTACAAAGGCGCTCAATGCCATCACTGAGGGACATGCATTCCACGCCGAATCACTATCGGCCACAATTACAGTAATCCCAAAACCAGGCAAGGACCCGGAAATTTGCAGCAGCTACAGACCCATCTCCCTCTTAAACGTGGACACAAAACTCTTTACCAAAATATTAGC